TACGACATCATCTTGTATTACAGAAATCACATGTCAGCTGCATACAAGTTAGATGATGATATTCTTAAACATATCATCAATAATATATATATATGGTCGTTATGAATTAAAATAAATGAAGAAGAGAATAAATTTATTGCAGTTTTAAAAAATCGAATTAACTATTCAAGTCAAAACAATTAAATAAACCTAAGCTACAATTAAACAAAGCACTATAGCAATATAGTGGAGCCAAAGAACCGTACAAAAATGGAATTGAAAAAGTTGTTAAAAGGAGAAAGTTTTAGAAATTTGTCCAAAGTTCTTAATTTGATTGACCGTTCAAACCATTTAAAAGGAGCCACATTTGTTATGCAGGTATACTTAAAAGTTATCTCCAGAGCTAGGTACGCCCAAAAATTCTCCTAATCGGTTCGATCTGTTGAATTTTAGATTGGTTCTGTCACGTTCTTCCCATTAAACACTTCACCGAAATCGAGAGTAGCATTGACGTCACACATTATACCCAGAATACAAGGAGATGCCTGTCAAGCACGACGCGCTCAAATCTGTTCGCAATACGTACATCAAAAAAGATACTAAATACGCATAAATATTATACAATTGCATGAAATAAATCTATTAAAAATAATTAAAATAAATACACTTTTGTAAAATAAATAAATATTTATTAATGAACTATAATTCTATAGAAACTAAGGAGTGAGACTAGACTTTAAAACGGTTCGATGGTGCGTTCGAGGGCCAGTATAGGATCATAAGTTTATGCATGATATGATAATGGGTTGTTAAAGTTGAACCATGCTAATTCTTTCTAGTTAATGTTAAAATAAAGATACTACATTTCTATATTTATTCTGAGTTTCAGTTTTATAAAAATAGTCAACGCGAAATAAAAGAAAATAACATTGATAACGGTGGCCTGCAGAAGTTTAAAAAATTATATTGATTCACATGCTTTCTAGTCAACGTTTCGTCAAACACTGGTTTGAATTTTAATCTAAAATTTAATAGTTATTATTGATGAATTGAAATTGTTTAAAACATTGTTATTATTTTCATCAGATACTTTGTATTATTTTTTAGAATAATCGATTTTTTAATTAATTTAGGTTTTAGCAGTAAAATAATTGAGAATCTTTGAAAAGTCAGATTTATATAAACAAAACATCCGGTTGGTTGAATAATGCTCTCTGGCTTACGCTCGCTCACTGACTTCATAAATTTAGTTTTTGCCCTCCATTCATTTTTTCTTTGTTTAAATTTAGTGATAAATCAAGTTTTATTTTCCGTAACGACAGTTAATTACTGAAGCCTAATTTTCAAGTGAGATTTTCTTTTTTTTAGTCAAGCGCATCATGATTCAAATAACATTTTCTTAAAATTTAGTGAAGCGCTCAACTTTTCCTAATTTTAAAGTATTTGAGCGATTTTCATTTAAGGGACCAGCTCGACCGCTTTGAATTTGGCGTTGACGAGGCAAAAATGAATTTTTAATTTAGTAATTGCAATATTTAATATTGGTCGTTCGCGTATTTTCAAATTTTGGCAAACGTAAAGTTTCAAGTCCAACGCAAATAATTATGCATGATGCTATAGCTGTAAAAAAGTTAATTTAATCATTAAATTTTAATGTTTGAAAGTTAAAAAACTAACCTAACCCTAACCTAACTTTTAAAAGTTTTAATTATTAAATAGCATAGCAATAGCATAGCAAACTATAGCATAACAAACATGCATAATTTACTGCATTGGGCATGGAACTTAATGTTTGACCCTCACAATCTCAAATACAATCAGGGATTGCTGTAGTATAGTTATAGGAAAAGACTATTATCACAAGACACTCAAAACTTTATCATTCACACAACTAGTTTTTATTTATATATCACCTCACTAAGTCATCATCTAGTCTATTAACCAATTACTCTATTAATTTGCCTTTTTATGTCATTACTTTATTTTATTTTCAATACTTTTCATGTTTAAGCATTTTTCTTTCTTTTTTTTATTTATTTATTTACTTATTCGTTTAATTTTATACTACTGCCTTGCATGTAGTAACAGTTTCTGCGTCTGCCAGATACTGATTTTTAAAGAATAATAATAAAAATACCTCCTGTGATCCCACTCTCACATGTTTGATTCTATATTCTAATATTTCGCTTTTTACTTCATTAAAGTTTTAATATCTTTTTACAATATAATTAGTATTGGTTTCTATTTTCTTAAAAAATCTTGAATCGGGTGTGTTGAATGTTTGAGTGACGGAAGGATATGCTGAAGGTAGGACAGTTAAGGCAAATTATTATTTTGATGAGAGATTTTAGTTGTTGAAGTTGTTGTGTAGTGAAACCAGACAGAAGAGAGCAGATATTTGACGTGTGAGATGGATGATGTCAAATAATTTTATACCTCTGATCTGAGACCATGTGAGGGAAGTGTGTGTTGTGTGCGTGAAATGACTGAAGATCTTTTGTGATGATGTTTTTTTTAGTCTTTTTTATTGCAGCTCTGACATACGCAAGAACCACTTACAATGATGTTGCATCTTTATTATGTCCTAAAGCAGCCATCTTCGCCACAAAGGCTGTTTATCCTTTTCACACAACGTACACATGTGAGTATATGATAGCCATTGAGATGTTTTGATTCAGCGAGCATTCGAACCACTGAGCCATCTCGCCAGCCAGCATCCGACAACTTACATCGTCTACCCATTTACCAGCCTTGTAAGAATGGACGGCTGGGTTGGCCGGGTGTTGGCTACCCGGATAAACCTGCAGAAACTGCAAGATTCAAACCCGGGTCATGGGAGTAGTAGACGGACACGCTAACCACTCGGCCACGAGACCCCTAGTGTTAGATATTAGGTTCTGTATTAAGCGATGTGTGGAGGTAATGCCTAATATTTTCATTTGATTCGTCAAGTGATTGATGGGTGTTCTGGATGTAATGCTATTTTCATTTGGCTATTTTGAATGATGAGTTCGAATGATTTTTTTTGAGGTTAAGTGGCAGATTGCATTGTTTTGACCTTGTGGTTAATAAGTTGAGTTCTAATTGTATGGTATTTGTGTTAGATGATGGGATGATAAGGTAGGTGTCGTCAGCATATGTGATGATTTTATTAGAACTATGATGGCCTTTGAGAGTTGAAGCATTGATGATGAAAGTTGAAGGTCCAAGGACAATTTTTGAACTATCTTAGAATTAATAGATAAGGTTGATGAAAGTTGTGGACAGAAAAAAGTGTAAACGTTTATTTTTTACTAGAACAATTCACTGCGTTGTTTATGCTTTGAATAAAATAATTCATGAATTATAGGGGAACACGCAGCAAAAAATTCACTATTTTTAAAAATGCTTTCTTGTATAAGTGCTTCCAAAACAAAATAGAATTCCTTTTTGCTATGAATCTTGTGGCACATTGCCTCAATTTTTGAGTGACCCTGTGGTGGAAAGCATTGAAACGAAATTCATTATAAACAAAAATTTATTGAGTTTATCAAATTATATTGACTAAAAATATTTTTCAGACATTAAATAAGCAATGGGAGAAGAGGCAATGTCACAGGATATGTACCACCTTATCTGCCATCCTCAAAATCAAACTCTCAGCCTTGACAATGCCAACAAAAGCGTCAGGTCTATTTTGCTTGCTGACAGTGCAGAAGGCATCACAAAAATTTTGCATGATGATCAATTTATAATCAAGGAAGAGGCTCAAGATGAAGACTATAGTGTCTTCTCAGAGTTCAGTTACCATCAGTCAGTATATCTGGTTCTTACTATTTAACTGTGTTTTTGAAATTAAGTAAATTGAAAATGAATTTGTTTTAACAGGTGTATACATTGTTCTTCAGTTTTCCTGTATAAACAGCAGTTGAAAAATCATTTAAAAAATGAACATAATGTTATGCCTATGAAGCTTAGCAATCACCAACCACAAAATATTTTGGCTACCTCTTCTGTTTTCAATGAAGTTACATCGATGCCATCGTATTCGTCACAACAAAGAAAAATATTTGCTTGTCACTTGTGTCATAAAAGGTTCTCGCAATCCTGCAACTTGAAGACACACATGCGAGTTCATTCTGGTGAACGTCCATTTGAGTGCACGGAGTGTGATAGGCAGTTCACGAACAAGGTCAACCTGCAAACTCATATGAGGACTCACACAGGGGAAAAGCCTTTCGTCTGCATTGTCTGTGCCAATCAATTTACTCAGGTAGGCATTTATACAGGTTTTATTCTTTAATGTTTTTCGTTAGGTTCACATTTCTTTTTTCATAATCAAAGCGGCTAGGCTTCTGAAACTGTGTGTCCTTATTCAATGTACTTATTCATGATCATAATAAAAGTTGGCTGAGATGTTAATTTTTTATGAATCAATCAATTTAATCTATAAATCTAATAATTTTTTCCAGATCAACAATGCATTCCTTTACTTTGAAATTGTGATAATTCATATTATTTCTTCCAATTTGTTTATAAACTCAACCCATATTTTTTTTTTTAAATTGAATTTCGCTTTTTGGAATAGTTTCCAGAAGTTTTAATACCATCTGTCATCTGTGTTTTCATTTTATATTACATTTCAAAAATTTATAACATATAGAATGCAACAATTGTAAGTTTTTTAAATAGCTTAGCAATTTTTTCCCTTGGATTCTCAACAATTTTTTGTGTTGGTCAGCTGTGCTTGACACACTTTTACTTCAACTCCAAAGTCTATGGCCCCAACAACACCTGGCACTGCATAGCTGGATTCAATTGCAAAGAGATACCTGCCTATCACATGCAATGTATGTGAGGCGTTGTTTACATACACTATGTGTTGTTGACGGAGAGTTGGAGTCAGATGAAAAATATCCGATTCTGGTCCCAAAAAATTCAGAGTCTGGGTAAAATTTCTGATTCCAACTCCTAGAAAAAATGTTTAACTTTTGCATCCTAATTTCACCATATGATCACTATTAAATAGAAAACACTTTAAATCAGTCAATGTAATTGTTTTCTTATTAAAATTATTATATTTTTAGGTTTTAAAATATTTGAAAAAAATTATGTGCTTTTATCGGCATTATTTAACATTAATTTTCTTTATTAAAGATAATTTCCTATTGCTACATGCTACATATTGCTACATCTTCCAAAAATTACCAACAGCTACAATAATTATAATGGGCATCTCACAACCAACTTTTATTATGATCTGCCTTTTGTTATGAGTGCTATAATAATTCTTTTAATAAATCATTAAAATTCGAATGTGCAAGAAATTTGAATTGATTTGTTATTGAAGGTGAGCAGTTTGAAGGTGCACATGCGCTCTCACACAGGGGAAAGGCCGTACTTATGTGGTCAGTGCTCGCGTGGCTTCACAAAATCGTCAGACCTCAACAGACACCTTAAGACGCACCTCGTCGAACGACCGTACAGGTTCATTTTCTTTTTCATCATTTGATCAGGTTGCGTCATTGTTCAGATAGATTTGATCGTACCTATGAACGCGCAGCTTGTGAATTATTTACAAGCCAACTGCGCTGCTATTATACTCATGTGTGCCCAAGTTAAATATGCATGGAAGTAATATGAACAGTAACATCAGTAACACGATCAGCAACAAACAACTGCTTGTCGGTGAGTCGGTGAGCCATTAAGAGAGGAAGTTATTAAGTTTCATAATAATTTAAAAAGATACTCTGACCTCAACTGACTATTTTGCGATTTGGCTAATGTCTAGGGATAGAACTCTTGATTCTTCCGTGCGATTTTGTTATAAAGTTTTCTACTGGCTTAAAGACATAGCTTCCATCATAAGAAATAGCAAACGAAACGTGCAGTCGCCATCAGTCTATCTGTGAAAGGTCTGTTATTAAGGACCTGGTCGAGTTAATAACTTACGAAAGTACGTAAAAATGATATAGGATTAAAAATTGAATGTTCATAATTTCAAATCTTTCTACGTGCACGCCGCATAATGAAATTAATTTCATGTACTTGATAATTTCATAACCACCTCCAACTTCGCAATCTCCGTGTTATATTACCGAAACTGAAATGAAATTGTACTTGAAACAGGTGCAAAGAGTGCCAGAGAGGATTCACGCAGATAAACAGCTTGCAAATGCACATGAGGCTTCACACAAATTATCGACCTTACACTTGCTTCATATGTGACAAAAGGTTTGCCAGAATCAGCTGCTTGAAAGCCCACACGAAGCTGCACACAGATCTGCTAGTCACCGATCAGGACATGGCAGCGCTGCAACAAGAGGACCGGGAGTCTAACAATAATGTAGAAGAAATCAACGATGACGACGATGATGAAATTGATGATGACTATATAAGGAGCTATAAGGAAATTAAGAGACGAATGCGAAACAAAAAGAAATACATGCAACTAAGTGATAAAATGGACATGACTCCTAGTGAAAACTAGCAGCATTGTGGCATGTTCATGCATTCCACATCTATGTATGTCTATTATGTATTTATTTGTGTATGTAGATATATATATGTGTGTGTGTGTGTGTGTGTGTGTGTGTGTCTATTGCGTGTGTGTGTGCTAGCAATTAGTAAACTTATTAGATTGTATATGTATTGTGTTATGGATAAAATGTTATGAATCTGTTCATTGTCTTTATAAATCATTAGCATATAAATTTGAATTTAACGTGAAAAATTAATGACAACAGATGTCGTGTCAATGGTTTGTAAATGAACGACTAATTGACTTTAATTAATTTTCAGACCGATCATTTGCAAATTATTGTTGTTTATAACCGTTTGGTTCTGTTGAAGCTTTAAAATTATAAACCATTTTTAAAATCTCTGTTGTTTTTAACGATGCGTGAATGTGGACGATGCGTTGACCACTTGGTACCTGCTGGTTCCTTTAATTCTTCTTCCCATGTTGTTCAGTGGATATCTGATAACAGGTTCACGTAAATGCAGCCCTCTTCTGTCCGGCGTGTAAGCTCTTATTTTTATCTTCTGCCTCATGTGGGAACAGACTGCCGCCCAACCTTCGAAAATTTAAATTTGAATGAGGAATTTAAAGTTGGATTTTGAAAGAATGAATTTGAAACATTATTAATGATTGAATAAAATGAAGCACCTAGAGAGGAGAAAACGACGTCTGCTGTGGCGTCTTTTACCTTTTCTATTTCTACTTCATATTCAACTCCAACCAACGATGGCAAGCACCTTCTTCTGTCTTCATCACCCAGAGGCAACTGGCCAAGTGTTTCAATAATAACTCAACTGAACAATTTTTAGTCAAATTCTCAACCAACCCCGAGTGCTGAACTTCCGACGTTACGACTATAAAAGTTGTTTGCAGCTTCTTCGTTGTCAAACACGTGCACAGGAATTGCTGATGAAGCGTACACAGCGAGATGGATTGCTTCTGTCCCCTGGACAAAAGAAATTTTAGACTTCAAAAAAAATTTTATGGCTTATTTTTATAACAATCACCATGCTACTACATATTTTTGATTGTAATAAAAATGAACCATAAGAATTTTGTACGCTTGAGAGGCAAGGGAATTCGGGCTCGCCAGCTAAGAAATTATATAAAAGATTCTTGACAAGTGTTGGATTAGATTGAAAGGTTTTTTACACCAAGCCGTGCTGTACGACAAAAAAAATCCCTCTTATGAAAAAAATAAAAATCCTTTATTGTATAATATATTCCTTCCAGCTGAAAATTCAGAGTTACGATTGAGTTTTAAAAAATTACCTCGAGGGTTGGTGAGTTTTAAAAAATTACCTCGAGGGTTGTACACCTTTTAAATGGTGAATGAGTCCTTCGTACTAGTTGTATGTAGCAACGACCAAATTTCATTATAATAGAAAACGATAGTTTAAAACGTATGCAAATTTAGTTCATGCTATGCAAATTTAGTTCATGCTAAGCAAATTTAGTTCATGCTAAACGTTCACAATGCCATTACAAACAACTTGAATAACCCAAAAAAAATCGGAACGTTTTCAAGAGAAATAATATAATTAAAAAAAACCTGCAAATATTCAAGTCTTGCCAAGCCTGACACCAACATAACTTGGCCAACACGCATGATGTGTATTTGTGGTTTTAACGCGCCTTTTGTTGAAAGAAATAGCAGTTCTGACTGATTCAACAAATTTATTATCTGTTCAAATTAAAAACATTTATGATTTATTCAAGTTAATGAATGATGGACACTTCAAAGTCAGTTCAAGATTTTATAAGAGATGTTTAAAAAACTCCGGGTTAAGTTTAAATAGTAATCTTGCCATCAGCACTCAATATTTCACTTGATTTGTCTTCCGTCATTCTTAAACATTTTTATCTCTCAGTTTTGTTTTCTTGAATGATTCAGCGCCAGTTTAATACTAAATAATAGGTGCCGTTTTCATCCTTTCAATGTTTTTACTACTGTTTATTCGTAAAGAAACCAAGCAAAAATTGTTTTTACATGTATAGTAAATGGCAGTACTCGCCTTTAAACATTAAATACGCCCAGAAAACAAAAAATGGTGTTTCTAAAAATATTTAAGTTGGACCCGTGTTTCTAAAAAATATTTGTTAAGTTGGGTTCGTTCTATAAGCTCTTTAGTTCAAACGACATTTCTAAGAGAGGTTTCACAAGGCAATAAAGTACTATTAACATAAAGACGAAAATATATTAAAAAAATGACACGGAGAAAAAATTTTTTTAGCACATTTTTGAAATTATTTCATTTAAAAAAATTGTTTTTTGACACGTTGTTAAACTATAAAGATGTTACACAAAACAATAAAAAAATTAAAAACATTTGGTTTTCATGGTTAAAAATGGCGCCAAACAAAATGAGATTCTCAATTTTTTCACATTTTGAAGACTAGTAGCTCAAAAAATTGAAAACAGATTCAAAAAACATTTTTTTTATCAATTAAGACTACCAAGTATTTGAAATATATAGCAAAACAATTATTTATTTTGAGATAGATTTGGAGCTATGACGCATCGAAAAAGTGAAAATTTAAAAAAAAATCAAATTTTTCAAAACTTTTTTGTGCAAGGAAAGCATCTTTTGATTAGGAACCATTTTTCTGTTATTAATTTGTTTCGTTAATGTGTACAAAAAATGTCAACACGGCAGTTTGAGAGATATGGCGCTCTACATAGGTACAAGTTTTGGAAAAAATTCCCTCAAAAGTTGAAGACTGGAGGAAGAAAAATCTTCATAACTTAAAAAATAATTGAAATATTCTTATAAAAATTGAGGTAGATTCTGTCAAAATTAAACAAAAAGTCGATGATCGGGCCTGGAGCATGGTTGAAGTGGGAGGTGGTTGACTGTTTTCGTCTT